ACTCGTTATTTTTCATTGATTCGTCCAATCGTCATATGAAATTCTTAAAGAATGATATATTTTATCATTCATAAAGAATCTTGTATTCTTAAAGAATTATGAAAATTATTTTCAAAATTTATACATTCTAACCGATTATTCATAATTAAATTAAATAGTTCTGTTAAATTCAACAAAATAAAAGAATTTGTTTTGTAGTACTTTCAGTTTGAACAGAACATGATCTTATAATAAACTTACAACTTAATATGTATTTTATATATCAGATTATTAGTTTATTGAAGAGGATGAATGATCTTCTTAATCAGGTGGTTTTGAAGCATTGCATGGGACACAAGAAATCAGTGTATCAAAAGTTGGTTTGGATATAGTGGAAGCTCATTATATTCCGATTGAAGGTTGTGTGAAACCACATTATGAGAATGTCGCTGTTGAAAGAAATGCATTTGTGGAAAGGAAGAGACTTTGTAGGATTTGCAATAAGTTGATAGATCATGATATGAGAAATTGTCCATATAGAAAGATTTATCGTTATTGAATTTCAATTCGTTTGCGAGTCATTTTATTTTCTTATGGTTATAAGAATTTATTTTCATTAAATGTTCGGATATGTCGGTTTTCATTAAATAAGATAATTATAATTATATTTATTTTCATTTGGAATAAGATCGATTTCATTGAATTAGTTTTTTTTTTTTTTTTTTTTTTTTTTTTTTTTTTTGAAAAGGGAAATCTAACATTTATCCAACTTGAATTAGTTAGTTACAATTATATGCATTTTCATCAAATGCCAGAATACATTTATACCAATAGTACACATTCTTCAAGAATTGAGCAAGATAACAAGTTGTATTAAATTTGGAATAATGATCTATATTTGCTCAAATGTATTAGACCTTGATTTTAGTTACTTGTATTTTGGAGTCAAAAATTTATTTTATCAATTGAAAATATAAATAATAACGAAACTTACTAACATTTTTAATAAATATTGTATTATCCAAAAATATGAAGCGTTTAACATGCAGTTGCTCTGATTTTGATTGTTCAGTTACTTTTTTGCCAACTCTTCTTATTCCTCGCCTATTTGGTTCCTCGCCTATAAAACCAAATGGACAATGAAAAGACAAGTAACTTCCTAATGGAGAATGAAATAGTGAATGAGATTGTGCATAATCAAAGCATCGGAATGGAGAATGAAATGCAGAATGAAGAATTTATCACTCACCAACAGTCAGAAGATCCAATTGATTGGTCAGATAATATAGATGACGAAAACTATGTTTCGGATTACGTTGATCATGAAGAAAATGAAGGTAAAAACTGTCTGAATGACGCAAAACTACAAACATTGTTATTGTTGTAATTCAAATTCTTGCAAAAATATAGTTAATATATATATATATATATATATATATATATATATATATATATTTGTAATCATTATAATGTTACGTATGAACTGATACAGAAATCAGAAGCAGTAGTTGTTTATTCTTTAGGAATGTGTTTTTGAAAATACATTCAATCACAAATTACTATTTCATTATTCTTTAAGAATGATACTAATAAAACATTAACTAATATATTACAGTTGCAGAACAATTTGTAGTTGTAAGTGATTATACATCTCCGGGTGGGACAGATTATTATACACCCAAGACCAATGAAGATGTAAAGCCTAAAGTCGACGACATATATGATACATATGATGCAGCTGTAGAAATGTACAAAAATTATGCATTTCAAGCAGGTTTTGATATTAGGCTAGGATCAAACAAGAATAAGACGGATGGTAATTTCACAAGCAGATACTTATTATGTAACAGAGAAGGAAAGCCCAACACTGGTAATGTTGACACTATTGATATTCAGTACAAAAAAATAAAACGAAGAAAAGATATGCATAGGACAGAATGTGAGGCTCATACTGTATTCAAGCTCCTTCCTCAGACAGGAAAATATGTGGTTCATGAATTCGTTGAAAGACATAATCATATGTTGATACCTAAGGCTAATATGCATTTGTCACGTGCGAAAAGAAAACTAGATTTGTCTCAGCAAACTTACATTTATAACATTTCTAAGAATAATGTTGGGGCAAAAAAAGCTTATAGGTTAATGTGTGGTCTCCAAGGTGGGTGTTCCGTTCGTGGTGGATTGGCGATTGATTACAAGAACTGTGCTAGGAATTTAAATTGTTTTATTGGTGGTAGTGATGCCCAATTGATTGTCAACATAATGGAAGAGAGAGTTAAATATGCACCAAACTTCTCATTCGAGTTTAGAGTCGAGGAAAAGAGATTATATTCAATGTTTTGGGCTGACGAAACTTCCAAGTATAGCTATAAGGAGTTTGGGGATGTCGTTTCATTTGATGCCACCTACCATACTAACAGGTAATTAGGTTACTAATAATTTTTTAAAATACATTTTCATGATAACAAAATATTTTACATTTAGGTATAACATGGTATTTTTTCCATTTACTGGAATCGATAACCATAAGAGGTGTGTCACATTTGGTGCTGGATTGCTTACCCGAGAAGACACGGATTCTTACAAATGGTTACTAAAATGTTTTTTGAAAGCTTTTGTGAGTCCACCTAAGATTATAATGTCTGATCAAGATCCGGCAATCAAAAAAGCAGTTGATGAATTGTTACCACTATCCAGTCATCGTGTATGTATGTGGCATATAACAACAAAATTACCAAAAAAGGTATACATACCACTATTATTTTCTACAATTGAATATTCTTTACAAAAAAATTTCTTATTTAATTCACAGTTTCTGTTATTCTTTGTTTGCTTACATTTTTATGTTGTTTGTATTTTTTTTTAGTTAACTTGGGAAATTGCCAACAATTTAGACTTTCAACAGCTTGATATGGAATGCAAAAATTAATTAATTAGAGTTTGAAGCCGGATGGGACAGTATGATTACAGAATTTCATCTTGAGGATAATACATGGTTAAGAAAGATGTTTGGTTTGAGGAGACTTTGGATTCCTGCATATTTCAAAAATGTTCCACTGTCCGGTTTGATGAGAACCACGTCACTCTTGGAAAGTCAAAACCGGTCTTTTCAGAACACTACACTATCCGGATCATATCTTGTCAATTTTATGATGACATTTGACTTGGTCATGGAAAAACAAAGGCACACAAAATTCATCGGATTTCACAACTACAACAACATTTCCGAAAAACATTACATATATTCCTTATGAACCACACGCAGCAAAGGTTTACACTAGAAAAATATTTTATCAAGTTCAAGAAGAGATTTTTGAATCTGAAAAATCATGTTTTATCACAAAAGTCGTAACTGATTCTTCTGATGGTGTTGACATGTTTGATGTCTTAGAGAGAAAGAAAAGTGTTAGCACACGGACAAACGAAGTTGTCCCCGACCAACCCGAGGAGGAAGAATATCATTTTGATAGTATTGTGAAGGACAAAGATTTTAAGGTATGTTTGTGGTATTAATTGATATGGAAATTAATTAAATTTTAAATCATAGACATATTAATTGATATTGAAATTAATTACATTTTCATCAATAAAATGTAAGTTACTCACAACAAGAGTGAAGGATTCTTCATGTGTACATGCATGCATTTTGAACATGTTGGAGTTCTATGCAGGCACATATTTTCTGTTATGAGGTACTATAATCTTGAAAAAATACCCGAAAGATATATTTGAAACGTTGGTGTAGAGATATAATTCCTCCAGAATTATTGAGACGTCGGTTTAAGAATTCTCAAATGAACAGAAAAGTTGACCAGGCAGCAATCGACATCTTTTCAACTGTTGATCACTGTGTCTCATTTTTTAGTCATGATCCAGTAAAGTTGCATGAGTACTTAGAGGAGATAAATAAGTTGAAAATGAAGTACTGCCTTTCATCTTCGTCTGACAATTTGGTTAACAGGAATCATTTTGAACAGATTATAGGTGTTACTCTTCCAAAGGAACGTGAAATTCATAATCCTTCTATAATCAACAACAAAGGTTTTGGTACTCGTGGAAAAAGAATTAAAAGTAAAAAAGAGATGTTGACAAATCAATGTCATAAACCAAAGAGAATGTGTAACTCATGCAAACAGAAGGTTAATCATGATAAGAGGAATTGTCCCTTGAAGGCTAAAGTAGTGTAGTATTATTTTGTCCTATTCATGCAACAAATGAATTAAACGACACTATGTTTTTCATTAATTTCTTTTTCAATAAAGAGTACCTGTTATTTAGATTGTTATAAGTAGCTACGTACTCATTGTTATAATTAATTAATTCCTTTATTCTTTGTTTTGTTATTTTACCTTCACCTATTCTAGTTTATTATTCAATACATAATCATTTTTAAAACTATGTTTTATAATTAATTCTTTCAGAATATATACTATCACAAGCTATTATTTGATTTATTACATGTAAGTGCAACATACTTCGGAACCATTAGTTACACGTAATAACTAGCCAATGCAAATCATTTTTAAAACTATCAGAAACAATATCTACCAGAATGTCCAGTTAAATGTACTTCAAAATTATCATTCAATACCATATTAAAACACCATATTCTAAGAGATTATCCATGTAAATGATATATATTTTTACAAACTACTTTTACTGATTGTCAATGCAAATCAATCATCCTAAGAACCACCAATTTCAACTATTATTTACTCATATTCCTAATAAATCATCCATAAAAAATCACATTCCACAGATATTTGTTAGAATCACCAATAAAATCATATCTTATTTATATAAGCGTTCAAAAAATTGTCACCATCCAAACTTTAACTTTTATTTAAATCATAACTTCCATAAACCATCATTTTTTTCATACATTAACTTCAAAATAATAAGATGTTCCATCAACCAAAGTCTGACATAAGTTAAAACAAACGACATACAAAAACTTAAAGCAAACCAAACAATATAAAAACCACTGTTTTGCAAACCGGACATTCAAAACACTAACATTGTTATACAACTATACCCGTTTCAGCCACTTTTTCCCTTTCCTTGCTTTTTTTATACTTCTTTCTTTTATTCTTTGCCAACTCCTTCGCTTCATCAAACAACATACTTTTCTGCAATATATCTAGCTTTGAAAACTTATCAGCTTCTTCCAACAACATGTCTTTCTGCAGGTTGTGATCCGAGGTCATCAGTCTATACATATATTTGTACCTCAGTCTTGATAATACCGCAACATCACTATGTTTTATTCCTTTAAATCCTATTTCCCACTTCCCTTCTAGATCTCCCTTATAGCACTCCATGTGCCTCACCAAATATATACCACAGTCAGGACCAATATCACGGACTTCCCAAACCACTCTCATGATTTTTGCTTCCTTTGAGTACAATTCAACATGCATTCGATGGTTTTGTGTCATTAGGTAGCTGCAAAAGAACCGTTGCTGCAACCAAAGTCAAATATGTATTGTTAACCATGATTTATTCATATATGATTTCCATATTTGCTAAAATGTAATAATATTATTTCTTACAAGTGTTCTTGGTATTTTTCCATATCGACTTTCAACTGTACCAATACGTTTCACATGATCAATAATCAAATATCTTCCCCTCTTTAAGTCGAAACACAACAGGTAATGCTTGTCAACATCAACTATCAGGAAGAAAACCCGCACAAGTGACTAAATTAATTAACATGCTATTCACATCAATATTTTTGAAATTTATATCTTTCATTATAAAAAAATACCAGTCGAACATCACTTAAGTTTGCTTTGATATCCAAATTTCCAATGAACATTTCAAGCATTAAAGTGAACTCCTTAAGTCTAGAAATCTCAAGTTCTGTTTCGTCCATCACTAATTCGTTCTGCAGGAATCAGTTAACCAACAATTAACATAATAACACATTTCATTTGTAATGAAATTCAAGTATTAAAAAATTTCTGCATACCATAAAATAGGTATTAAAGTACAATCTTGTTGTTGTTCCTAGTTCTCTGTATCATTCCATAGTGTTAATGTTGCCCAACAATTAATTATCGACCTATGAATGAACATTTTGTCTTCAAAGAAATATGCATCACCTTGAAGAAGGCTTTCTCCTTCTTCGAAATCCAAAATCACATCCCTACTTACACACATACTCATTAACAATCATGTACAAACCATATACCATGTTCAATATATATGATTAAAAAATGAATATAAAATTTAAACTTACAATTGATCTCTTTTAGAAGCGAAAATAGAGTTGCAAAGAGTCGTTTCTTCTTTTCTTACTCTTTCACGTACCTGAGTTATCCTATCCACAAATGGTGACCGGTCATAGTTTGTAACCTTACCTTTCCTTCTCCCAGTCACATTTGATTCTTTTTCAATGTTCCCTCTATCCTTCACAACAACTGATTCGTTTAGATCAGTCAATAAATTTCTTGAGCATTGTGCAGTAAAAGTTATTTCCTCAGTGATTGTCTCTTTTAAACTCTTATCAACCTCATAATTATTATCTCCAACATAAGTAACCTTTTTATCACCTGATACTTTATCCATCATATCCAGCACTTCATCTACAACTCCAGGGAGTTTAAAGAATTGTGAACTACTCAACTCATTTATATTGCCCCATGCTTCGTTATTTTCACCCATAGGCATCACGTAGTCATGTGCAACTTCTTTCCCTTCCCTGTGTTGCCCAATGTCTTCTACATTCTCTTTTGTCCCGTATGGTGTAACAGGACTTTTATTTGACCCGGAAGCTTGTCCAAAATTATCATGCTGTGCATTTTTCTGTAACATGTCATCATCTGTGTCTATGTCCTCATCAATGCCATCACTTTCATTTACAACTGCATCTTCATTAATCCCCACATCATTAAACAACATTTTCATCAATGTCATCCTTTCTCTCAAAATTTCACTATCAGGAAACTTTTTCAGCCCTTCAATTAATGCTTTTGACATGCTTCCTTTTTCAGTCAATACTTTATTGTACTCGATGTCAAATATGGCACAATATGCCTGCATGTACCAAATACTTAATCTGTCATAAACAATTAATATTACACATTCATTGATTCAGAATAATTAATATCAGGAAAATTATTATTAATTCATTATTTAAGATTCAAATAATTTTAAAACTCATCACAACCTCATATACCTCATACCATGTCATCATTCTAAATGAGTTATATAACATAATCACGTCTATATGATCGAATATGTAATTCAAACCTAAATATTTTATTATAATGCACCTATTCTTAAATATAATACACCATCACTTACACAATCAAACTTAATATGATTCTATGTTAAATGGATATAAAATAACAGTGCTTACCTCCTCATCTGCAAATTCTCTCTCAACTGTTTCCAACTCCATATATGTATCAACATTAACATCTTCATTCTCATCATCTTCTCTTCTGATGAAATGCCCCATCCCAAGAGCATTCGCATTCACCTCAGACTCGTCGATCTTTTCCAGCTATTCTCCAGTAACATGTATTATGAAAGGAGTCCTCTTTTTCAATTTAATGCTTTCACTTATGCGGACATTAAACACATAAACAAGCTGTACGCATATTAATAATTTGTTACAACATATAATAATATAACAATTATAGAATAATAATCATTAGTATTTAAAATATATTTATGACATTCATACCAATAATACTGTAATAGGCCCTGAGTAATAGCAAAACCGGTCGTCCCGATTCCATAATTGCTTCCTTGTCATCAAGCTATCAACCATGTACTGACACCAATCAACAGTTGAATAGTCTTCCAACAGAGCTAACTTCTCAACAACTTTTATTTGACATGTACCCATTTTCTTTGACTCAATAAAGGTGTTGATAAACAATATAATAAAATTAAGTCTAAAGAGAATGTCATCCACTCTTGACTCCGTTATTTTTTTCAAATACGCTGTACTAGAAAACAATTTTTTTGGATACTGAGCCATCCATTCCTTAAGTACATGATTGTTCTTCCCACAGGAAGGCAGTTCCTTAATATTAACACCCTCCATAGGTATACCCATAATCTCATGTATACTTTCCTTGGTTATTTCCAAGGCACCATTTCGCAACACAAGTCTATTTGTCAATAGATCATAATTATCAAGAAGATAGTAGTTTAAGTGCCCTGGTATACTACCGATATCTATATCTAATAAGTTGATAACCTGAAATTTTCATTCTGTACAAACCATTTGAAGCCAATAGAAGTAGAACAGTTACAGTGAAAACTCAGATTTCGAGTATAAGTTTGGCAGTTTTCAGGATTTTACACTTAAGGAGATATTAGGAGAGTTGATTCACTAGGGTTTTGTGCAACACTGTTATTCCAATACTCTAGGATATTAGAGTTCATTCCGAGAATAGAAATATTTTATGCCAAAAATCCCAGGACTATATATAGAAAACTGAACCAAATGGTTCATTAGTTGAATTCCAATTAGAGAGAAGCCAAAATTCTCTCTCACGAATCTTCGGGTTTTTATCCCAAATGGTGAGTACTTCGATCTAGTTATGTTATATAGCTTAGATTATGTTTAGAAACATCAATTACATATCAAAACAACTAGACTCGGGAGTTTACCGCCCAAGAACGTTCTTGGGGAGTAAACTCCATTTTAAGGTCCTAAAGGGTTCCAATGACCCTCAAAGCTTTAGAACTCGAACTAGAAGCCTTCATTTCATAGTTAGGACACCAAAATCATTAGGAAACAATGATGAAAGTGAGTTCACGGCCAAGGAGTTCTTGGGTCGTGAACTCCATGTTTAAGTGCCCAAAATGCTTTGAAACACTTCCTAAGGCTTAGGTTTAATTGAGGACAAGTAACCTAAAGTGTTTAAAGCCTAGAAAACATAAGAAATCACTAGTATTGAGGAGTTTACGGCCAAGACAAACTCTTGGGCCGTAAACACCTATAAAGGGGTCAAATGACACCCTAACTCCTTCCTTATGACTAGAACCCAACATAGATCATTACCTTGAAATGTTTGAGACTTTAAAACACCATAATCACCCTCCCAAGGGAGTTTACGGCCGTAAACTCCAAGGGAATATGGTCCCAAGGCCGTAAACTCCTTAAAGGAGTTAATATGGCACCCAAACACTTGATTTAACCTTGAAACAATTCACCACTAGAGTTGTAATAATTCTAAGCTTCATTTAGAGAACTTGGTTGAGAGTTTACGGCCAGGAGTTTACTCCCCTGGGCCGTAAACTCCAAAACATATGGTCTTTAGACCATAAACTCCCATTAGGAGCATTGCACTCCTTTGTTTCAACCCATTAGCCTCCTAGCACTTGACCATAAGTGTTTTCCTCGTGTTTAAATGTTTATACTTGTAAAATTAGTGTTTTAATAACTAATTATTTATATACATATGTCTTCATATGTAATTAGGATCATTGTGTGTGTCTAAAGTCTTCGCTTAACACCGAGCACTTGTCCAATCCTTCCTTACGATAACAGTCCGTTCAATTCCAGTCACATACTGCAAGTGAGTTCATACCCCTTAAATAATGTTTTAAACTATTTTTTAAATGTTTTATGGGGGGGGATACAAGTAGAATCATGCTAGTTATTATATCAATCACATGCGATTAATAAGTAGAATGATGCTAGTTATTACATCACTCACATGTGATTAATATACAACATTCAAATGATTTGGCTACTCATTAGCCGTTTTACCAAACCGTTACTTCAAATGATTTTTATAAACATTTTATATGTTTAAACTCCTTATTACACTATACAGTTTACTCTGTATATCATACTTCAAACTTATTTACAACTGTGTTTCAAACAAATGTTTCTTTATACTAAACTGTTTTATCAAACCCATGCCTTCAAATTGTTTTATAGATTGACATCAAGTCGATCTTTTCTTAAGATAATAATTATGTTTCAAATGTTTTTACAAAACTTATTTATGCTTTTATATTATAAATTGCATGCCTCTATATGTATATTTATATAAGAAATGTTTAGAAGACTTAGGAAGGCTATCCACCCTATTTCCTTTTCGCGCTTGAGATGTGGTCTGGTGGGATATAGGGTATTCGTCCGAAAGTCGTTTAAATATTAGTTATATATCATGTGTACATATATAGTCATAAAAAGGGTCCTTCCAGTTCATCCCATGCCCTTGGGTAGCAAGGGTATACATCCATGTCCATACGTACCAGTTACATTACTAGTAAACTACCATATGGGTAGTTTAGGAAGATACTAGAACTATTACTAGAACACAATACCATACTATGAGTTAGTTCATTCATGAGTCAATACTTACTACTATGTGAACATATACAACTATACTAGAAAGAGAACATATACAGCGATACGAGAACGAGTACATTACTATACTTGCTAGGTAGAGACCACGTACAATACTAGCTAGAACATTTCAGTACAATACCATACTACTACATAGATATGGTCACATGATTATACTTACATGAGTACACTTACAAGAATTACTAGTACATTATATATGTATAGATTATGTTATATAATCCTCATTCTTATCTTTACCTTGTGATTCAATCACATAATCGACGAGATAGAATGGATTTATTTTCCTAGTACCCAAGGATACATTGCGGGATTGACCATTCCTAGAATCTCTGTTAGCTACAGAGGTAAAAGCACATCCACGGATGTCAATGGTTGATACCATTACATGTATACTATTGGGGACTGACTATTCCTATACCCAGCTGTTAGCAACAGAGGTAAATGTACATCCACGGATGTCTTCAGTTAACATTGTTATTTGCCCGAGTACCGACGGGAAATACCATTACAGTTAGGTCTTGGTAGAAGACTACATTCAGAACAGATAGGTCTTGGTAGAAGACTACATTCAGAACAGATAGGTCTTGGTAGAAGACTAAATTCAGAACAGTTAAGTCTTGGTAGAAGACTTCTGTTGATATTAGTAGGAATCATAGGGATTTCTAGGGTTTTTCAAATGTTTACAGTTGTTTTACAAACATCTTCATACTTAGAGTTCATATACAAATTCTTACATACAAATACTTACGTACAAATTAAGACACTAAATACTTATGATCTCACCAGCTTTAAAACTGATACTCGCTTTCAAAATTACTTGTATCCTCAGGTCATCATAGACAGGTACTGATGCAAGGAGAAAGGAAGATGGAGCTTGTTCAAGACTTATCTTTCATTTTGATTTATGCTTTAGTGTTTATCAAAATTTGACGGAACACATTTCTATAATAATTATATTATTAATGCAATGGATGATGTTGTTGCTTGTTTACTACTTTACATTGTTGTGATATTATACATGACGTCCTCTGCCCCAGAACGTTTCCACCATTCTTGGTTTTGGGGTGTGATAGATTGGTATCAGAGCATTGTTTATAGTGAATTAAGTATATCAACCCATAAAAGATATACTGACTATAAATACATAAGGGATTAAAAATACTCTGACCAAGAGTTTATACTTTAAATAATAAAATATTTAAGTAAGTATACGTGCTGCATTCATACTAAAATCAGTGTCACTAGGACAGTACCAAAAGAATTACGATTGTTGGGCAACACAAGTGGGCTTAGAGACATATGGTCAAAACTGGGAAGATATAGCCTGATCACCTATATTATCTGAGGGTTGACTAGCATGTGCCTAAGTTTAATTGTGTGGTTGCAACAATGCTAAAATCTTACCAACCCTACCACAATGAGAACAATAGAACATAACATTAAAATTAAAATACTATAGGAGTATTTAGTGTTACTATAAGTACTTTATACTTGAGAACTAAAACAGGATCTTCATTACTAAGTTGATAGTTGCTAAGTGGATACACTAAGGCTATATGTAATTAGGATGTTATAGACTTAGAATCTGTGAAAATTTTGCCTTACCCCTATTCTGTGTGAATTTGGAATTAAGGTCACTTATTCGAAGGTCTATCCTGTTTAGATTACACATAGCTGGTATGCACTTCACAAATAGCGATGTAACTGATGAAGGTTTTCTAAATAATTATCTAGATAGTTCGTCTAATAATTATTCTCCTACCCTAAATTCTCGCATAGAAAACATAGTTGGACTCCATCCCCTCGGCAACCAGTATCTTCCGAATGAAGTCATAGCTGGTTGGTTTGGAGAAGAACCAGAGAATGATCATCCTTTTCCCCTTGAATGATCACCATGATGAAGACCTTTCGTATGATGCTAACTTCGAACCAGAGGTTGAGAACCTACCCTAAGCAGCTCCCTTTCCAACTCCTAACCCTCGTCCGACTTTTCATGGCCCGACCCCTGAGGGGGTGGAATGCTTGGAAACATTGAGCCAAGGGCAAGATCAGCCCATGCCATTTAATGGCGACCGAAGCTTTTATGACATAAGAAATGGGGGCTCAGTAGACAGAACCTTGCTAATCTTGGTCCGCAGAGAGGCCCGAAATGAGATTCAAGGCAGGACAGCCCTGCGTCAGATTACCGAAGTTGTCACTGATGCGAGAATGCATACCCTCCGAACCATTCTTCTAGAAGATGCTCGTAAGAGATCAGAGAGAAACCATGAAACCCTGCTGCAAGCACTGGCTGAATCCCAAGCCGAAGTCATAGAACTCCGAGTACGACAGAGGGTGTACGAAAGACACCTACTCGATGTAGAACGTCAACTGGCTGAACTAAGAGTTCACCAGAGGGATTACCGTCGCCAGTAATAAATGTTTTACTTTATTCTCCTTGTTAAAAAAAGGAATCGTGTTTTTCTGTCATTGCCTGATGTGGCATTTTCTATGAAATTATCTTGTACCGTAAG